AGAAGTATATACTACACCTTTCTTAAAGCATTAGAGAAGTATATACTACACCTTCCTTAAAGCAACTCAGTAATATGAGAACTTTACTGAAATATTTATAGAATTAGGGTCAAGTAGTATAGCATATATCAATCTGGGTAGCCTTCAATTGAAGCAGCACAAGGTTATAGACTGGTGTAATTGTAACAGTAGTGCAGAACAGGGGACATCAGAGAGTTTAAATAGGTAATCTCCTAGTTAGGTTACAAATATAGCATATAGTTTAAAACCTTCAGGCAGACTATTTAAATAAGTAACCAAAAGTTGCATGTGTAGCTACATATACTCTCATTAATCAAAAATGTATTACTAAAATGCCTAATAAAAATTTATCTTTCTGTGTTATTGCAAAGGATAAAAAAAAAAAAAAAAAATTGACAATTTTATTTAGTATTAAAATTTTTAATCTTATTTTGAAAATTTTTGTTATATATATAAATATATTTTTTTATAAAATATAATAGTTCAGTTCAGAGAAGTAATGACTTAGTAAAATAGTTAAATTGTTGCATTCCAAGCAGTATATTGGCAGGTTAGAGATTTGAAACTCATTAATAATGAAATTTTAAATATTTTGCTTGCATAATGGCTACTGTTTTTTAATAATTAGTTAGAATAGAATTTTTGTAACTTTAATAATCCTAACAAAATTGAAAGTTTATAGTATATTTTTGCAATATATAAATTATATAAAGGCATGCAGGCTAGTATTATGTAATACAAATCTAAAATAAGTCTTTGTGATTACAGTTATATCTGAGTTATATTTTTACTAGATTATATCCTAACCTGAGTTATATCTCTATATTTAAACAAACCAAATTTTTTCTTTTTTATATGTTTTTATATATTTTATATATTGAGATATATTTTTACTTTAGTTATATCTTCAAAAATACTCTAAAAAAAAGATGAGATATAACTAAGATATGACTGTATATAAATTTAAGAAACTAGAAAGATAAACATCTGCTTGGCAAAACCCAAATAAAAAAATAACACAAACTTTTAATAATAGCTACTAGAATAAACTTTATCTGAAATTGGTTAACTGAATATAACAAGAACATCTGACAAGTTACTTTGCCAATTAAACTGATATAAGTATCGATTAGAGGAAAAGGATCAGCAAATACTATAGAACTGATGTTTCTTCTAGACTATCTAAATTGGTAGTCTGAAAAAACTGACTAGAAAGTACTGAAAGAAAAGGTATCAGGTTGTTTTGAAGAAAAAATACTGAGATTTAAATAAACTCTACAATAGCTAAGTAGATAATGATAATGGCTTTGGCTCACAAATACTTATTCTCAGACTTGGTATAAGCTATCAAAGTAAACTAAGTATTATAATAATAGTAGATGCAAACTGCTCTAGCTGATTATATATTCAAGAATAAATAGATTAACTATACTAGTAATTCTATAGATAGTTTATGATGATTTTGAGCTATAAAATGATTAATATACTTTATAATACCAAATAAGATTAATACATTGACATAGAAAACTCAGATCAGAGAGATCCACAAGCAGATCTTAGATATGATATATAGAGAATAACTATAAATAAAAATAGATATAGCAGAGTTCTTAAATAGGCAATGACTAAAGTTGTATATATATCCATATGTATTCTCATCAGAATGTACTTGTTTGAGGCTCTTTGAAAAAAACACCACATGATCCTATAATCTAATAAAAATAATAAGCCAAAGAGCTAACCTTGACTATAAAAAAAAAGATATAATAGTTCAAAATTTTATTATAATACAGTAGATAAATAATTTAATTTATATACTGTATTATAAAATTTAACAAATCTTTAAAATACTATGTAAATTATATAAAAATAATTTATATACTCTCTACTCTTAAAAAAAATTAAATTCTATTTAACAATTGTCAAAAATTGTACTAAGATTGAATAATGACTTATTTTATTATAAAAATTTTAAATTTTTTTTGAGATGTTTTGTTCAGCCTTTTTTTATAGTTCGATTAGAATTTAGAGTTAGTGTTTATAATAAAAAGGTATAGGTGGATTTTAGTAGAGTTTATATTTTCAAATCAAGACCCCAAATTTCAGCATCATCCCTGACAACAATTATAAAATATCTTTATATCAGTAGGGTGATAATAGTGAGAGGTGCTGTATTAGGTATTAGGTATTAGGTATAAACCAATTTCACCGACAAATTTTGACCCGATTTAGTTAAGGTTAGCCTCCTTTATAGTTAGTGTTGGTTAGAGATTGTTGGCGAATTCTACAAAAACCTATTTTATTAGTATTATTATTGTACTGATTCGTATCTTATTATCAACATTAATTCAATTACGAAAACACAGGTGTGCGTTATTTCGAAATTACATCCTGCATGTTATTTCGCGAAATACGGTATCATTATTTAATATTACTGTATTAACCATATGAAAAACATGGTTTTCAAATAACAGCAGGGTGTAGTACAAAATTTCTGGATAATCATTTGATTCTAGCGTCACCAACCTCGCCAAAAAAATTTTGCTATTAATTTAGGTTAGAAAAAAAACTTGATAGTACCAAAATTTCGAAAGGAAAACTTTTGTTAGTGCGCATAAGATGGTTTCATAGATAAAATGTTGAGCATTTTGCGTTTCTTCTACGTCACACCTGATCATGAAATCAGATTGGCCAGTGAAATTTTTTGGTTGGAAACGCTAGGACCAGTGTCTAAAATTCAGCATCAAAGTTGTGGGCGGGCCGCACATTACATAAAGACCTTGGTGCACTGCAGCGCACATAAAATTTTTTTTAAATGTGTTCATTAGAAATTTAATATCTATTTTTTTAGAATTGCATGTTTAAACATTTTTATGCAAAATATCTACCGGTAATTTATTAATTTTTAACTAGCACATTAACTAAGGCCGTTTGAAATTGTAATTTCGTTTAATGCCCCTTATGAAAATTAAGCGCAGTGGGGAGGGTGTCAATTTAAACAAACATTATGTTATATTGCAAAAGTAACATATCAGATATTATCATTGGTTGGCTCATAATCACGTGACTTGTTGGAATCTCAAAGCGTAATGCATATGGGCGGATTTTTTTGAGTTACTTTCAAAAACGATCTAATTCTGGTCAAATTTGCAGATTATTTGGCCCTGGCTTATCAGTTTTAAAACTGATAAACCAGGGCCAAATAATCTGCAAATTTGACCAGAATTAGATCGTTTTTGAAAGTAACTCAAAAAAATCCGCCCATATGGAACGTCCTCATTAGCCTATTTAATTTCGGGTGAGCTTTTGGAAGTGGAGGTAGAACGTTAAACGAAATTGTAATTTCAAACCGCCTAATCTTTATCATACTATATTGTTGCATAATAAGTATAGCGCACATCAAAACATGAATTTAAAATTTTTAATGTGCGCATTCCGATCATAATCTTAAAACCTGTTAATCTTTAAGGTACGGAAAATTTTTTTAATGTGCTTCCGCACATCAGTTTTAGACAGGCTAGGACAGTTGAAAAGGCATCGGAAAAATTCAGCCCATAAGATAGAATTTTATGACGTTACTAACTAAAACTGGGATCTCTAAAGCCAGGTAGTTTTTTTAAGTTGATTAATAATAAATTTGTAAAGTAAAAGTCATGTGAGGTATATAAATTACTATATACCTGGCTTTAGATAATAGCTGATAGATATCAGATATATATTGATAAAAATATTGAAACCTACGTATACAGTACACGTATAAAACATATACGCCAATAGACACATCAAATATATATATATAATATATATTTATTCAAAAATAATTAACAAATTTCGGCAACTTTTTATTAATTGCTTGAGCAAATGAATTTCGAAAACCGTTTATCATGAGATTATATCCTTTGTCCTATTTTTGGGGATCGTCTAAAGCCGGTTAGTTTTTAAGTTGATTAATAATAAATTTGTAAATAATAAATTTGAAAGTAAAAGTCACGTAAGGCATATAAATTACTACCTGGCTTTAGACGATCCCTATTTTTAGTATTTTGAGAGCTTTAGAAGAGCATGACTAGAGATTGTTGCTCTAGTTATTTCTAAAATTTTCTGTAACGAAGTTTTGAAGCCTTGCATGATGTATTATGCCTTTAATTATGTATTATCATAATGCAATGAAGTTGAAAATCGGATTTCCTTGGCAGCACATGTTTGGTTCTCCAGTTATAAATTCTTTATTGAGGTAAAATATACAATTTTACTATTTGAAACGACATTAGCAATAAAAATTTTTCTCGAATTAATATATTTCTGTCTCACAATATAATAATACGACCCGGAGTCATGTGTAAAGGTTGTGAAATAAAGCTCTAATAATAAATCTACAAATTTAACTAGTTGTCTTCCGACATATAGTGTCTACTAATTGTTGGGCATCTGTGAAGATAAAGAGAATGAAATATATTTAGAAGTGTATAATAATCTCAAAAATGATGACAGCACCTCCATAATAAAATGAAATGTTACCTTGTGCCCGCACATAAACCATGCAATAAGGATTTGCCGTTTTACCAGTTGTGTCTGCGAAAACTTCATGATATTCAACCTACATATAAAATGTTGAGTTAGTTAACAATGTGCACAGATAATCCTAGATCCTACTTTCAAATAGCTACGACCTTCGTCACGTATGAATCATTATATTTTAGCCACCGATCTTTTTCAAAATCATAAATATATATCCAATAATGACCAAATGTTGCCTGACCTATTAGATGAAAGAGTCGATTTCATCTTAGCTTTTTGATGCAAGAGCACCGGTTAATAATAAATTTTGATACAAACCACTGTGTATAAATACCGCGTGCAATCTATATCCACACTCTTTCATATCAAGGTAGAGATCCTTCAACTGATTTCTCAATAATGTAATTCTATGTTGAATATCTGTATAAAAATTGGCATAAGAATGGCATCAAAATTGAACATTATGTATAAAAATTACCGTCAATTCTTTCGTTAACACGTTGTTTTTCTAGTTCTATATCTGTCAATCTCCAATCGAAATTTTCATCGAAAATAAAATCGGAATCATCATCATCTTTGATTGATCGAACAAATTCGCTGGTGAATTTAAGTAAATCAACGGTGGGTAAAAACGTTGTCTACAAATAAATAAATAAAATATATTGAATACGGCCAAAATCGTGTAAACAAATAGTTAATGATTAGCACATATATTAACTTTATCCCGTGTTAAATCATTAAGTTCTGTTTGTAATGATTCAATCTCTTGTTTCATTTCGTGAGCACGCCTGCGCCTTTCCCGCAAGTTTTCATGATGCTTATCCAAATACCTGTCAAGATATATAACTTCTTCTAAACGAAGGTAGGCGTTTGATTTATAAACATTTGATGTGGATCTATCAAATTGAACCCGCTATAATTTGAATTGTAAAATTAGGCAATACAAACAACATTACTATTTATCATTTATGGACTCCAAAGCACAAAAAAAATATAATGCACATACTTGCACTTGTATTTGTAATATTGGTGGTATCCTTGTGAGAGTAACATCTCGTTGTGCTTGAGTGCCATCAAATTCTACCTGTAAAAGACATTTGATGAGGGCAAATAAAAAAAAAATTTTTCAAAATTCCATAACCGAAATTTACGACGAATTCACCGTTGATGTATCAAAGCAGACATCAAGCCCATCATACAAATCACGACCTTCAGCAACGACGACTATGTTAAAATTTTAGTTATGGAAGCTCTAAAAATGACATTATTTATTATAAACACGGAAAAAGAAATATTAAGGATATCAGATGATTGAATTGTTCTTCTTTTATGTTTTGAACAAGCCTGCCTGTGTGTTGGTCTTTATACTGAAGAACTTGTCGTGTTTGACCATAAAATAAACTGTATCATATACAAATATTAATTAATTCACTTATATGCATATATAAAACAATGTATATATATAAATATGAATGGAAACCTTTCCACAATGTTTTGTTGCTCGCCGTTCTGGTCAGGAATGGTAACCTTTAACGCAGCCTGAAGCTGGAACATTACGTTATCCATACACTCTGGAATACATGTTGTGAACATATTTTCTACAAATCATAATGAAATTGATGCTATTAATTAAAACATTTACCCGTTACATCTTGCTGCTTTCCAAATAACATTGAAGACGCAGTCTTTAATTTATCTTCTTTAGTAGCTGTAAGTTGATCATCGGGCAATTCAGGGCCATATGGTTTTGTAGTTGAAAAATTATCTTCCTTTTCCTTTCCCTTTAATGAATGCGAATTACTAGTTTCGTTTTCCGTTTGACAAGGACCATTAGTTGATCGTAACAATGTGTCTTGATCTGCACAGTTGGGTGATACGCCAGACATTAATACCTCTTCTTCGGCAGCAGGACTCAAGCTAGAATCAGTCATCTCTAAATAATTTACTGCAGATGCAGTTGTCGGTGCAGAAGGACCTGGACTTGAATCGTCCATGACCATATCAGAGTTCGTAGAAGTATCCATAGGAGATTTTGTCGTTTCCTTATATTCATCGTCATTTTTGGCATTGACAAGTGCCAAATATGCAAGATCAAAATCTGGAGTAATAGATCTCTGTGGCGTATGCATCAGTTCTTTAAAAAGATCACGTAAAAGACTAACAACTGTAACAATTTTTATGTTATAAATAAGAAAAAAAAGGAGTTCATAATTATGTGAGATTAACATAAAACTCGGCTAAAATGTGACAAGTACATTTCTTAGCTCTTTCAACTTCAGATTTTGAAACTTTTCTTCCTCCGCTAGTGAATGACTCCCAGTCGTTATCTAAGCTATTGACGGACGATGTATCAGCGGATAAAACCACCTCTCGTAGATTTCGGATTGTAAAATAGTACTAATAATAGAAAAAAAGTGAAATTATTATATGAATCGCGAATAACAATGAGCAAATACAAATACAAACTTGTAGCAGAGAATTCAAATAGCATGTATTTCCAATGTTATCCAACCCAACTGGCCTATTTGAAATTATAAATTTTATGTAAATGTCTGCTCAAGAAAATAAAAAATTTATAAATAGATCTCTTACATATCACTGAAATAATTGGACATATCAACTTCTATATTTGAGAATCATTTAGCATTTAGTTTTATATCAAAAAACAAAAAAAAAGCAAAAAAAAAAAAAGCAAAAAAAGTTCAAGGAGATATAAGATCTACGCTTACCATTTGAACCTCTTTCGTGAAGAAAGCTCATTATCAATTGGCTCTTCCTATATTTTCCAATGATTGATAGAGCCTCACGATGCTTTCTAGATGTACCGTCAGACGTCTGAAATTATGCAATGGAAAATTTTAATAATTAAGAATCATTCGAATGCGGTATAAAATGTCAAAACCCACTTGTAAAATGAAAATATATATACGTAAACATATGCATCTAGAAGTTGCTGATCAGATACATTTCGATTCGAATTCATAGTTTGGTATGCCTCATTAACATCATCTTCACAAAAATTGCCTAAAATTATACCATAAATTAAAAAACTTAATGACTTTATTCGACGCTACACATATATAAAATACCTATTGATCTTTGCATCGCAACCAGACTTCCAAGTAATTCACTATTTCTTTCTTTTGAAACTTCAAATATTGCTTGTAAATATTCTGGAATTTTCTCTGGTGATTCTTCAATGGCCTTTGTATAAGCCCATTCTAGAATTTTATCGTCCATGTCTGACACACACCCTAACATCGTGCAGCTAGAAGACGATGAACGGGTCGCAGCTGTGGGATTAAACGGTGAACTGGAACTGGTGCGGTGTCGCTGCTCATCTTGAATAATATCGTTTAATGTAAAAGTGTGAATTTAATTATAAATAACAAGTACAACAATTCTACGTGATTAATTTAATGATGTACATTTCGTTCCAAGAATAGTTTCCAATTTTCCATAAGGTTCTTCATATGATATAGTACAGCCCCTAGAAGCCTCTATCGTAGAAATTATCAATAAATTGTGAATTATAATTTATAAATTACATAATTATGTATAAACCCTAAGAGAGTAAGACAAAATGGGATTAAATCATACTCTCAGATATATCCATGATCCTCATATCTATTTCTTCTGACACATGTTTTAATTTTATAATATAATCTTCCGTAAGTTGTGGTGGCGAAAGATATTGATCATCTTCTAATTTGTACTCAAGCTTATCAAAAAAGGCCTTACTAGAGGAAAAACCATTAGAAATCTCATTTATTCAAAGCTCAAACAATTTCCAGATAAAAAGTATATACTAACCTCGCATTATCATAAAAAATCTTTGAAATAAATTGCTTAGAATATAAATTCAATTTCCGTGTTGAATCTGATGTAGTTAATGTTTTAATTATAGTTGATAAAAGATCGAGGGTGTCAAGGATACTTGGTTCATTTTCGACACCATTAATTCTCCTTGCAGCATTAGAATACGTGGGAATAGGCCTTGTTTTTTGCAACTCATCAAAGATCTGGACATCAATGTAAGGTTCATGAATCACAACATTCACAGTGAAATGGCAATAGCAACATTCAGAAGCTACATTTGTTTTTGTTGAATTTGCAGTATGGAGATGATGTAGATGATTTTCTCGATTAACAACACACATGCCACGTTTCACATTCATTTGACTAATAGTCTCTTCCGTTGATGTTGGTATTGATGTAGTCAATGCAAATCGTTTGTGACACTTCTTGCATATTAAAACTATCTCGGACCCGTCAACAAAATGTCTAGACAAAAAAAATTCGTGCGCGTGTTTTTTATCTCCCTCGTAATGATGTACCAATGCAGTAAGCCAAGAGGGCGGAGTCTTGGCACAGCCTGCAAAAGCTATTTCGTTAGTGGCACTCGGACGAGGGGGCAAGGCCGGTCTGGAATCTGAATATAATTATCAATATCCGCAATTAAAGGTGAAATTTGAAAGATCGGAGTCCCAAAACCGAATCCTACCTTGTTGTATAGCCATTCTCGATTTCTTCTACGTTGCAAGAGTTACTGATCCTTGATATGTCTTATTATCTGAAGATTTTTAAGCATTGATTAGCGAAACAGCAAAATCTTTGACTGAAGGCACATTAGTGAGTCTTATTTATTAAACTCGGAATTTATCCTTAAACTCGCAAGGCTGGATCTTTGTAATAACGAAGAATGCTACAAATGGGTACAAATGGATGTACTTGCCGTAAATCTTGTATAATTCGCTTCTAAAGATGAATTATTTAAGCCACTTAGTTATTTGATGCTTGATTATTTCCCAATTCGTGCAAGTTACACGGCACGTGATTTTTATCGTTATCTATCGCCTGCAAGTGCACCTATCAGTAGAATAAAAAACAGTTTTGATTTCATTTGTTTTTTAAATCGATTAAAACAAGAGTTGCCCCCAAGAGTTTAAACTCATAAAACTTAGTTATAGGGCACGAAAATAATTTCGCGTACACGATATCCCATTGTGGTACAAAGTGAAAAAGAAACTAATTACAATTACTATACGCATAACTTATTTTAAATAATCAACAAAATACAAGATATAATATGACAGCGCTAGACTTTTTTTTTTACTTGCGTTTTATTAGGAATAAATATTCTCGTCTAATATACACGTGTACTTCGATTTATATCCCTATATTAACAAACGAAAAAAATTTATCCTTCCATAGATTTTTAATCCAACACCGGAACAAGATCACGTCACATTGCACTAATTGGTTCAAGCAGTTTTTAAAAACCGCCGAAAGGAACCTCGATGGAAAATCCTTTTCGCGTTTAAAAGGTAAGGTATGATATTATTTTTTTTATTGGGACCCAATTTTCATACCCCCCAAATTTAATATTTATACCCCCCTGCAGATTTAACTTTTTTTAAAACTTTGAGCGAAGATATCTCAGTAATTATCAAGCCAAATTTGATAAACTTTTTTTTTTTTGAATTCTATAGATTCATAGAATTCAAATAAAAAAAAGTTCATTAAATTTGGCCTAGTAGTCACTGAGATATTCTTGCTCAAAGTTTGAAAAAATCAAAACGTCTATCAAAACAAAACTATGCAACATTTTCTTTAAACTTTGAGTGAAGATATCTCAGCAACTACCAAGTCAAATTTGATGAACTTTTTTTTGTTTGAATTC